AAAAAAAAAACTATATAAGACATCCCAAATTAAAATATTTTTAGATTGTGTTCATTATATCATACCCTAAGACAATTAAAAAATTAAACTCAAGAAAAAAAACCTTGTCTTGAATCTTGACTTTTGAATTCCTTGCAACGAGAAAAAGGAATAGAGATAGAATATCAGAAATAACGTAGCTGCTAGAGAAATTTCAAGTGCTTGAAAATGTCTTGTTCTCCAATCAAAGCGACGCGTATTATAGATTTGCATCACTTAATTACTTACTTATAGAGGATCTCTTTGACCGAAGAGGCAGAGAAAGAAATTGAAAAAAAAAAAAAAAAAGGGAAAATTATGAAAAACAATAGTACTTAAAAAAATAGTAATGACGTGCAGTTGACATATGATTTTGGAGAATTGATTAAACTACAGACCCTTTTGGATTTTCAACAGTAAATTAGCGATTTGATTCCTTTTTGAAAACGAAAACTTCTTACCAAACCAAAGTGACGTGACGGATACTTCGTGTCGGAGTTTACGACCATTAAATCCTAAGAAAATTCCTTACACGGTTGGGAAATCATTGTCAAAATTATATTTTTTATTTGGTTCGAGGTATATAGACATTGATTAAAAGTAATTAAAATAAATTATTTAAAAAATTTTATATTTAATTTATTATTTTCATTAAATTTAAAATTATATTTTTTTATCTTAAATATTATATTAACTAGTGTCATTATCAAAACAAAAAATCTTGCAAACTTAAGAGACTATGTGGCAATTTTAGACTGGATCACAGCTTGAGTACTTAGTAAAATGCTTGAAATAGTGGTTTAATATATATTATATGAGTCTTTGGTCCTTTTATGGGAATGGAAAACATTTTTATATGGTCATGGACTTTTTTATTTTTAATGAATAATAAAATGAGCGAATGATATGGAATGAAGCATCATCCAAAGGATACAAGAAACTAATAAGAAAAAGCACGATTTCAGACCAGCTAATGAGGATCCAGTAAAATATGGTTGATTCCTTTTTTTCTTTTTCCAACCTTTTTGGATTCTTAATTATGAATGGTTATGACCATTTAGTGAGTTTCATAGTGATTTCAAACATTGACATGAACATAATTTATTAGTACTTTGAAAATGTCACAAACTCAAATGCCCTTTAACTATAAAAACCAAAAAGAAATCAAAATGAGAGATGATATGATGGATGATGAGATTAATTAGATTAAAAATAATGATAAAAATAAAATTAATTGTTGTAATGAGAAAATTAAAATTAATTATAAGATATATGTGTTTGGTGAAAATGACGATGCATGTAATGAAGTGAAAATAAAAATTAATCATCGAGAATATTAATTTTAAAATAAATTTGAAATAATTTATATATATATTTTAATATTATTTAACATTTAATTTTTTAAAAATTTTATCCAATCAAAAATTGACATATTATTTATATTAAAATAATAAATAAGATTTTAAATTTTTTAAATAACAATATTTAAAATTCTCAACATAATTTTTATATAAGTCAATGTAAATATAACGTGTCAAATTACAAAGTCATTACTTGTGATACAAAGTCTAACATGAAGTTAAATTTATTTTCTCTTTTACCATGAAATAAAGGAAAAAAAAAACTAATTGGAAATTGGATTCAGTCAAGAAGGCAACCGTGTTGAAGGGGTGTAAAGGATGAAAATTATTATTATTATTATTATTATTTTTATTAATTTTCCTTAATGACTAAACCAAATTTATTTGAAAGCAAAGTGACTTCATTCGAAGTTGCGAGAGGAAAGAAATGGACTTTAGTTTTTAAATTAATAATTTATAAATATTTTTTGAAATTTTTATCTCAACACTTTAGTCAAACAGTTATACGTTAATTTTAAATGATCATATTAAATGTGAGATGAATAAATACAAGATAATATATGTAATTAAAAGGGTGAAATTGACATATATATATCCAAAATATTTGTTGCATTTTGAAAAAATAAAAAAAATACATTGAGTTCGGAGTGCATAATTAATATATATAATTATTTTTAAAAGATAATATTTAATAAATTTAAAAATTAAAAATTATATTTTTTATTTTTAAATTGCAATCTTATTTATATATTGAAAAAAACCTTAATTGATTTTGTTATCATCATTTTGGTAGGTCATGTATTATTTTTCTAGATTCAAGTTTTATATTATAACCGAGTCAAATATCTATTCAATTTCTGGGTAATTTGGGGTCAACTTTTTAAGTCACACAAGGCACGAAGGTGTGCGGATATTTCACATCACCATCAGTGTGTTTCCCTTCAAACAATTTATTTTTTCAAAGAACAATAAATACGTTCAAATATCTCACATCATCGTCCCTACTGCAAAGAACAATAAATGTTGTCAACAATAAACGTTGACTCAGTAAGACCCACGACTCAAAAACCAACAACGCCCTTCAAAGACCATATAAACCAACAAAGCCCAATACGCGTATTGCTGTCAGGATCCTTTGTAGCATTTAGTTAAAGACCGGACAAGTGTAGGTGTTAATAAAATTACTTTGCAGCTCTCAAGAGATAAAAAACTTTTCTACAATATTGGATAGCTGTGACCCTCTAAAATCCCTCTGGAGATAGTAGTATAGATGTCATCTCTAATGTCCATTTCAATATGATGTCAATAGCGGTCGGCAATCGACATAGTCTCTCTCTTTCTAAGTCATAAATTAATAGGCGATGAGATTTCAAGGCAACAGCCAACAGTCAATAGATGAATAATTTGCTGGTAGATTACTAATGTTAATTCAACTTTTAACAATTTTAAATAGAAAAGTGTTGATATACTATTGGATGATCAATAGTACTTTGTGGTCGAAAATGTCTAAAATAAACACTTGCACACTTACGAGGATGCTTCTTTTCATCAAGATGCAGCATACAAATGTTATTTTAGAGATGAAAATAATAAAATATAATAATTTGAGTAAAATACTCAAATTTTTATCTTCAAAAATTATACTGTTATTTGCATATTATTTATGCTATCTCGCCTTCCCCACTTATACTATTATTTTTTTTAACCTTTATACACAAAAGAGAGATTTTTAATTGGTTAAATTTTAATATTTATGTTGAATTCGAAAAGTTGAAACTAATTAGTAGAAATTATTATTTTATTTTTATATATTTTTAAGCTTACAAGTTACACCCGCTAATCATTAGCCTTCTCTTTCTTTTATCTTTCCATAGAGAAAAACTAACAACAAGAGCAAAGAATCTGGCTCAACAAGGAAAAGCTCCAAAGTGAAATGAGGTTGCAGAACTTCATTCTCTGCATAACCTCGTTAATGATGTTTCTACAATCTCTAAATCCTTCAGTTGATAGCCTGATGACTCAGTCCCTACACCAACACCATGGCCAGAACAATTCTTTGCACTTCTTTGCATAACCTTGTACTCAGGTGGTCACCAAATCACTGATCTCTGGTATGACTGGTCGAAAGGCCGCTATGTCAGCAGAAGCAGCTTGGGGTGTTTATGTATGATATAGAGTGGAACAATGGCACCTCCTTTTACTGCACTCTTGACACGAATGGAACGTGAGAGATCATTGATTTTGGAGTTGGCATTCCCAGGCCTGAATTTCTTGATGGAGCTCATTATTTGGGGACTGAAGTCAAGGATGGGCTCCTTTCTAACGTGTGAGAGGAAGTAGATTTTATTTGGTACTATGAAAATGTTGCTACTTGTTGAGAATAGTAACTCAAATCCCATAATAGATTTATTTGAGATTGGTTAGATATTGTTTGATGGTCAAAAAGACTTGTAGAATAAGAATCCTAAAAGAAAAAAGATTTTTAATAAATAAGTTTAACATATACAAGAATTCTATGAAGAAAGATTTTTAACGGATAAGTTCGTATACTTATAAATAAGTGAAGTCTCTACATAGTTAGGTATAAAAAAAAGATGTAAGAAAATTATAGAATTTTATATGATAGACACCCTATAAGATTATTGGAGATTGAAGTCTTATGGGTGTATATGTTTGAATATTTGTAAGTAGATTATAAGAGACTAAAAAGATCCACATAAGTATAGTACATGTGAGTAAATTAGAGGAGACTAAGATGGTCTACATAGAAATGATGCATGAGTTCAAATGAATATATGTTTGTTTTGGTTGAGAATACTCCATAAGACAAAGAGGAGATTGAAAGAGTCATGGGTATTGATTATTGAGTGGTTAATTGATTTGATATATATTTGTAATTCTTTACAATTAATAAATCCTTTTTTTTCATCCGTAGATGTACGTCAATTAGGTCGAACCACGTTAAATTATTATCTTTTATGTCATTAATTGATTGTTTGATTTTGCCTCTAATGGTATGATTGGATTGAGGCTTTTTCGTCTAACAAATAGTATTAGAACTGTGATGATCTCTGACATTACTCAGAGACCAATTTGATGGAATTTTTATGATGTTACGTGATTATTAATGAATTTTTTTTCAATGAAATATCCATTTTCATGATGATGAATTTTGAAATATATGAAATGTTTAATTAATCAAACAAGATATCTATTTAGAAATGAAACTTTTTTCCTGCTAAATATATTATTGTTCACATGTTTGATGTACTTTGGTTGCTTTGCCATTACTTTTTGAGTTAGAAATATACACTTTTGCTTAAGCAATTGAATATGACTCATGCCAGACTACTCTGATCACTAATGCTTTTATGAACACATTTTATTCAGTAATTACGCTTCATTATTCATCAGTTTACCTAAGTTATCTGTTTGGCAACATGTGTGATGTATCGTTTGTGCCACTACATATTGAGCCATAGATTGACTTTCTTTTCAATTAAATGGCTCAAGACCCCGACCCAAGTTGCAAGCCATGCTCAAAAGCTTTTCTTACGCAAAACTCTACTAAGAAATTCTCATCTGCCCCAATCATCGATCCTCAATCTTTATTCAATGCTACATAGTAATCTTTTTACCATGGAAAAATATTTGGATGTATTTCCTCGTAACCTGAATAAAGTTGACGATAAAACTACTTTTCTAGTCACTTGCCAGCCTTACACAAATAATCAACTAATCATTAATGGCATATATTTGTACAAAGTGGATCTTATCTTACACATGTTATTATCAGTACATTAGCATATACATGATGCAAATACATAGGTATGTGTGAGAATGGATTTTTACATATGTAGGGCAATTCATACCTTCTCTTGAAAATGTGATTGCAGTATGTGTAAATGCCCTGATACTAGCTGCTAATTTCTATGATGAGTGAACTTCCAATTTGTCTTCTTCTTCTTTAGATTCATCTCTATCACTCTGGTTAGAATCCTGACATTCTTCAATATCGTTGATTTCAGGAGGAATGCTAACAACAGTACTTATCTCAGCTGGAGGTTGAACCCTTAATCCAGATCGCGAGACATGGTCAGAATTACGAAAGATGTATTTTCGGACAAGTCTTCCAAATATATGGTTTTCGGAGACAACCAAGGCTAACAATACAACGATCCCAATGATGATAAACAGGCCCGCAAAGCTTCTTGAAGTTAGACTAGGGCTACTGGAAGAGAGTGGCCCAGCCTCGTTTCGATCTATGGATATTTTACCAAAATACTTTTTCTCTATGGAGGACATGTATTGTCCTTGAGTGAAATTCAAGATTGCCCTCGAAAAATTAGCAACAAGAGGAGAGCCTATAGGGAATGCCTGAAATTAAGAAAAGCATAGAAAACTAATTAGAATGAAAATAAACAATCCCTCGGTGCATATAAAAATTTTTTTAGTTTGAAATTTGAAATGGAAGATGTCAATGAAAAAGATGATTTTTTATTTGTATAATTGAAAATTTCTTGTATATATACAATAAACTAATCCCATGAAATGAACATTTTAAAGCAATTATAGATGGAGGAGGATAAATAATTATATATAAAAAAATATTAAAAAACACATACAAAACCTAAACCATCGGTTATGTAGATAGGTCCACCCATCATGTAACCAGTAGTATGTTCGGCTAGAAAGAGTTTAATATAGGGAATTTCATCAAAGATGGCATCAACTCCCCCATTGTCAGATCCCTTGGACAAGGCCTCCTCATAATTTTCAGCAGTGTCATATGGTATGAGCATAGACTTCTCGAACCCAAACTGATTTATCAGCAAACCTCTTACAAATGAATGATTCTGGTAACCGACATGACATTTTTTGAGTTCTTTGATAGTCGGGATCGGCGGCTGTAACTGGTTTACTGTTAATATTGAAGACAGGTTTGCAGTGTAACTCTGCATCAAAATGAATGCCAAAAATATCCATATGAGCAATACCATCCTTGAGCAGTCGGTTACTACCATATCTCCTGTTACCAAAAAGAAAACTCAGTCACGTTTAGAACGTGTTTTTCTATGCAATTATGAGTAAATAAAATTAATATTTAAAAGAAATTTTTGTACTTAAAAAGAAAATATTAGAGAAATAAAATGGAAGCTATTTTACTTTGAGGGATCGCCACGGATAGGAATGGAAGCGTACAAATTTTGCTGAGCAGCTTTCGGGGTGATCCATTAACATCAGTATTTGCACGACGCTCTAAAACCCAAACAACAATCCCTATGAAAATGCAGATGAAGATGATTGTCAACCATAGATCCCAGCTCAAAGGCTTCAAGAATATCCACATGTCTTTTGGCCCATCGTGGCTAACTTTTATGAGCATGGTCACCTCGGACTGCAAATATGGCAATGTAAAATCAACACAACTTGTCCTGCTAGCCACAATCGAGATATCTCCCACAGCAGCGTCGATTATCTATAAATTATTCGTCCAAAAAATAACAAGAAATTATAAGAAAATTAATTTCAATTCAAACAAATGTGATGTCTAGAAAATTTTGATTAAGAAAAAAAATTGAAGGAAATAGAACTGACCTTATCTTTAACTTTGCAACAAAGATTATCGTAATTAGGTCCGTCAATGGTTACAAATTCGTAATCAGTAGTGTGACGTATGGCCATGGCCTCCCATACAGCTTTGAAAACCTCTATGGAGAACCCTGGTAATTTATCGCCTTTCTTATCCTCAGGATGTATGTTCACAAATTCTTTGAACCCTGTCGTAACTGGAACCCCTATTTTCAACTTTTTTCCAACCGCAGGCCTATCATTTATCTTGAGTGTTCTTCGGGTGTCTCCAGGTGTAATGATTTCTTTGAGCTTGTTCCTAGAAGTTGGATACGCTGCTCTAGCTGAACCCAAATTTCTAGAGATTCCCAGGTCAGGAGTCCAATAGCCGATCATTTTCTCTCCTTTTCCGGTTAAATTAAATATTTCGAATTCCAAAGGCTGCAACTGCCCATTAACTAAGTCAAAATCTCCGCTGATCCCCCGAAAACTAGTGCTCGAGATTTCCTCAAGTATTCTTCTTGGACCTTTTTCTGAAATCTGTGCGTCTGCTGAAGTCCTGTCCTTCTTCTCCTTCAAGAAACCAGAATTCACAGTCCCAATTCTCTCCACGGACATAGCTAATGCCCAAATTGTATCATAAACCCACAAACCGAAGAGATTCAGCTCGCTTGGCCCGCTGTTTTGCTTCATCAAGGATAAAGAATTATATCTCGTTTTGAAGTCCTCGAGAGCTTTCGTCTTGGGTACATAAGGCCTCACGCCTATTACAGTACCCTTTATTGAGTCAAGACCTAGAGGATCCATGGTATCTACAAAGTTGGATAAAACATCTGTCACAAGCCATGCAAAACCTTTTCTCATCATTCCTGCCTTGTTTGCAACAAGAAACAGACGAGAGGCAAGTGTTGTAGTCATGTGCACCACAAATACCTTACTTTGCAGGGTCATCAGCACTTCCAGCTCCTCTAAAATTTGAAAACATTGGGCAGAGGTGGGGATTGCTCTCTTGTGTGATACCTGAATGCCCGTATTTTCTAATGCATCGGTTAAATAAGGGACAATCGCATGACCATATTTGATGTCTTCATATAGGAGTATGACTTCGTTCCTTTCGAACTTTTCCAAAATGGAAACCGTAGCTTTTGCAAGGCAAGAGAAGTCAGACAAGGCCGTTCTGATAAAATAAGAATGCGAAGAGCATTCTCCTAGTTTTATTGCAAACGAGGCTTCATTTGATTGTTGTGGTAGATGTTCTGTGTATTCCAAATAAAATTGTAAATCTCGATGGTATATACATGGGACAAAAAAAAGGATTTCCTAAACCCCTCTAATAAAATTTTATTTTCATTCTAAACCTTTTAACAAAGATTGGTATATGGTAGTCCATACCTGAATTATTCTTCATAAAATTTGATCTAATAATCCCAAACAATCTTTATTTTGACAATACAAGCAAGCCGCTTACATTATATTGATATATATTTTCGTATGGATGTATAAATTTATTATTTAGAAAAATATTTTTAAAAAAAAAGTATTTATGTGCTACTCTTGTGAACACGAATATAATAATAAAGTTAAGTATTTGTGTGCAACCCGCTTACATTATACCCCTGCTTTAATCCGTACGTATTAATAAAGTTCATATCCAAGTGGATCAATTAATTGAGATTTGGTAATTTTAGTGGGTCAATTGTTCAACATTTGGCATTTTTTTGGTTGATATGTGGGATACGTAACCGTAGTTATTGGCGGATATGGATTACTTCATTCATGACAATATGCCTGATGCTGTTTATTGTAAAATTAAACATAAAAGACCTTATCTTTAATGGAAAATTATGTGACCGAAACATACCCGATGAAGCTGCAGCGACGCCATCAAGCAAATCCAATATCTGCAGAGACAATCTTGTTCCATAATTCGGGTGTTGATCATAAAAATCTGAAAGAGCCATGGACAAACATATGTTTGCCATAGCACCCATTTTTGAGTTCACATCTAGAACTACACCGGCATTGTACACCAACCTCGTCGAATCCCAGGTTCGTCCAGTTCCAGCAGTTTCCGCTTTTACAGTGAAGCCAACCAAGAAAAAAGAGAAGAAAATGAAGAGAAAAAAGGAAAGACAGTATGAGCAATTTGGCATGGGGGCAGAGATCTTCCGGAGGGGTAGTTTCGCAAGTTTCTCTCCTGTTGTTAGTTTGGTTAACGTCCTTTTATAGATAGATTTTGCGCCTGCATGTTTGACGCTCGCTGAGCGTTTGTTTTGGTCTTTGAAAAAGAAAAAAAAAAACCAAGAATTGTGAAAAGTCGTCGTTCAGTGAACATTATTTTTCATTCCATTTCAAGGCTTGTTCCTTTTTTTTTTTTTTTTGTTACCCTTGCAACTCAAGTAGAAGAATTTGAATAATTATATTGTTGTAAATAATAAATTATCATGAATCCCATTGGCCAGAGTCTGTTAATTTTATTTAAGAAAAATTATTGACTAACAAATATTCCAAATTTTTATTACTATTACTTAAGTTATATTTTTAATTTAAGGCAAGAAATTAAACTTTTAATTAGTACCACGATGTTTTTTAATTGTCATAACGATTTTTTGTTCAAGGGACTCGATCGTTAGATTTGATGAAAATTTACGGAGTAGCCACAAATTTATTTTTATAAGGTGTAATTGACCACTTAAAATATCATTTTTTAATAAAAACTTTTAAAATTAATTAAGATTTATTAAAAAAAAGTTTAGTTCTACAAAATCAGTGTTGAGTTAGGAAATATGGTTATAAGTGAAAAATGTATTAACACTCTCAAGTCGCCTGTTCAAAAAATGGTACCAATTAAACATGTGTAATTCTTTAATTTTGATGATGTAATCTTTTTTATATTTAAATTTAATTTCTTATAATTTATTTATGAAAAACATCTTTTGTTGTGAAATTAGTATTATTATTAGTGTATTCTATAAATTCTCTAATGTTTTGGTAGAACTTATAGAAAATGTTTATTTAAAAAATATTTTGAGAAAATTGATCATTCACAAAAATCTCAAAATTTTGTCATAAAATATTTTATTTATTTATTAAAAAAAGATTTTAAGAATATCTTGACTCTTTGGTGAGCTCTCAAAATTTATTAAACAAATTTTAAGATTATCCTAACTCTTTGATAAAATCCTAACAAATTTTCGGATCATCTCAAATTTCTGATAAGATCCTAAATAAAATTATTTTTTATTGATGATAATAAAGGGATTTAATTAATGAATTCTTATTGTGATTATTTTTATTTTTTTGTTATTATTTACTATTTATTATTTTTATCTTTTTAATTATATAAAAAAATTTTAAATTATCCCAATTCATTAGCAAAATCTAAAAATATTAATCTTTTACTTGTATTAAAGAAAATTGAACTCTTTCAATTTTCTTTAAAAATTTCTTTTTTTAGAACATTTATTCAAATAATCCATTATTATTATTTTTATTATTTTTATTTATATTGTTTAAATAAACGTTTATTCTAGTAAAAATAATTTTAGATTATCTCAATGCTATGATGAAATCCAAAAAGTTATTTTTACTTGCAATAATTAAATAATCATTTAAACAATTCATTATATTTTTTATTATTTTTTAGCAAAAATTATTTTTTAAATCATCCCAATACTTTGGTAAAATTTAAATAATATTTTGCATGTAACAAAATTTTAATTTTCCTTAAATAGTTATTATTATTATTTTTAGATTTATGCATATTATTTTTATTTTACCAAATTTACATTTTATTTTAACTTTATTTTAATTTTGTACTTATTTGAAAAGAATAAATCATAATAACGTTATAATAATAATAATAATAATAATACTAATAATAATAATAATAATAATAATATAATAATAATAAAAATCATCATAAAAACAAAAAAATATATAAAATAAATAAATCAAAACAAAAAATAAAGAGAAAAAGAAAAGAAAAATCTAGCCAAACGGGTCGGGTTAAGCACGAGTCGAGCGCAAATTTGGATGCCAAAATGGCATCATTTTGTAAGGGCCATAAAAGGCCCAAAATCATATATTTTTTCCTTTCTATTTTCTCTCTTTATCTTTTAAAGCCTTTCTCTCTAAAAATCTAGCCCCTCCGCCAGTTGCTATGAAGTCTAGATTTTGCTGATTGTTGTCGTGCACTTATGGTTGGAATCTTCAAACGGCATTGAAAAAAAAGATACCCAATTTCTAGAGGATTTTCCAAATTTTAGTGGCTAAAAATTTCAAACGACTGTCGAAATATTCAAAATTTTCTCAGAATTCGGCAACCCAATTTTTTTTTTTAATTTTCAAAAATTCTCTAATCACTATTTTTTCTATTCTAAACACTTTTTTAAAAATAGATTTCCTAAAAAAAATTTCTAGATCTTTTAAAATGATAATTTCATTCTCGAGGTTTTTTTTTTTACTTCTAAATTTTTTTTATATGTTTGCTACTGGTTCCTCTGTCAAAGAGGATAATGATTATGTTTTTTTTTTTTTTGCTTCTGTGTCTCTTTTATTTTTTTTTTTGTAGAACATCTAGGGTTCCTCCTGTGATTTTGTTTTTCAATAACTTGGCTCTATTGATAAAGCTAATTAGAATGTCAACATCCTAGAAAATTTGAGATTTTTTTGGACTTTTTGGGATTTGTGAAAAATTTTGTCCGATGACTAAAGGTCACCAAATTTCATACTATAAAAATTAGGTTGGTGTCAGAGGAGAAAAACATCACTTTGGCAACTTGATTTCAACTATCAGAGTTGAAACTATTTTTTTTTATTTTTTTATTTTTTTAAGATTAATTAATTAATTAATAAATAATAATAATAATAATAATAATAATAATAATAATAATAATAATGATAATGATGATGATAATAATAATAATATAAAATTTAAGTTAAAATAGAATCAGACAAAAATGATGCCTATAACTACCTTTTTTTGTTTATTTCTGAGAATAAAAAATAAAGCAAAGATAAAAAGACACCAATTTTATTCGGGCAAACACATACAAAAGACAAACATTGAACATAAAGTTTTTTTTTTTTTGAAAAAAATTTTAAAGGCTTATCTAAATAAAGGCTTAACAACTTTTGAAATTTTAAAAAGGTTCATTTAACCAGAGGTTATAAAACTTTAAATTCAAAAGGCTCTTTTGACCAAAATTAATGAAACTTAAATCCAAAAAGTTCCTCTGACTAGAGGTAATAAAACTTTAAATGGCTCTTCTGACCAAAGGTAATGAAACTTTAATTAAAAATTTGATAGGACTTATAGATTATGCCCTTTGGTCTTACAAATCATGCTTAATTTTGATGGAGTTCTCTGACTAGAAAAGGCCCTTAAAATAAAAAAGCTTCTTTGACCAATGGCTATGAAACTTTAAATGACTCTTTTGACCAAAGGCAATGAAACTTTAAATTTAAGAGCTCCTCTAACCAGAAGCAATGAAACTTTAAATGGATGCTCTAACCAAAGGCAATGAAACTTTAAATTTAAAATGCTCCTCTAACTAGAGACAATGAATCTTTAAATTAAAAAGGCTCATCTGACCAGAGGCAATGAAACTTTAAATTAAAAAGGTACCTTTAACCAAAGGCAACAAAACTTTAAATTAAAAAAGCTCATATGACTAGAGATAATGAAACTTTAAATTCAAAAGGCTTCTATGATAAAAGGCAATGAAATTTTAAATTTTAAATATGAGAGGTCTTATAGATTATGCTTTTCGGTCTTACAAATCATACCTAGTTTTGATGGAGTCCTTTAACTAGATGCTTTTAAAATTAAAAAGCTCTACAAGCTATGAAACTTTAAATGGCTTCTCTGACCAGAGTAATGACATTGTAAAGAAAGCTCATTTAACCAGAGGCTATGAAAGTTTAAATGTTAAAAGACTTCTCTGACCAAAGGCAATGAAACTTTAAATTTAAAAGGCTTTTCTGACCAAAGATAATTAAACTTTAAATCTAAAAGTCTCCTCTAACTAGAGGCAACAAAATTTTAAATTCAAAAAGCTTCTCCAACCAGAGGCAATGAAACTTTAAATTCAAAAAGCTCATTTGACCAGAGGCAACAAAACTTTAAATTTAAAAGTTTGAGAGGCAATGGTATTTGAAATATTCTTTTGAATAAAGGGTTCACATTTTTTTTACTTTTGACTTTTTCTTTTGTTGGTCTTGGATTGTCTTAGACCCATATATCTGTTGTATCATGTACGTGCATGAATTACATTTTCATGTTTTGAAATGTCATGTAATGAATGATGTTGCAAATGCATTTATGACGCAAATGAAATGACCATCTTTTTTTTTGTCATTTTCTTTTAATTCTCAAAATTTCTCATTTTGTTTGTTTTTTTTTCTCTTGAATCTCATGCATTCCAGTAGTTGATTGAGTTTGGATAATAAAGTTTCTCTTCTTATTTTCACATTTAATGTGTATCACTTTTATGACTTATAGGCCTCCCTTTTGCATGACCTTTATTCCTTACTATTTTGCTTATCATTTTAAATCTCTTTCAAAATAATGTGTGTATTTTTCATGGTCATTGTTGTTCGCTCATGATTTTTTGAATTTCATGACAATTATAACACATTGCACATTTCTCTTTTTAATGAGAGGGATAAAAGAAAGATGAATAAATAAGTATTTTATTTTAATATAAGGGAGAAATGTTTCGTACATTATCCAAAAAGATATAACAAAAAAAATAAGTAATCACATAATGAATATTTATATCATCATAAATTAATTCATCATGGATTCTTTTCTGAAAACTCTTGATTGATGTCTTTTAACTTTTCAAAAATGCAACAGTTCAAGCTAGCCCAAAACCAATGAGAACTTCTAACACATATTGAGAATTGACTAACTCCATTCAATACTTCTTTATTTAAGTCACCTTTTTAAGTTTTCAACTCAGATATCTTTTTATGTCATTTTATCTATTTATCTCTTTTTAAGTATAGTACTTTTTTACTGTATTAAGTTGATCAAATTTGACAGATCATCCCCATCCATTTTTGCCAAGATCAATACCCCACTAAAAAAAGCTTTCTTCATCACATATGAGCCTTCCTAATTAGGAGTCTATTTTCCTTAAGGATCTTATTGGTTAGGAAAAAATTTCTTCAATACTAATTCTTCCTTTCAAAATTGTCATGAGTGAACTTTCTTTTCAAGAGCACGCATCAATTTTCTTTGATACAGTTGACTATGGCAAAGTGCTGCTACTCTAT